GGGGATCGGGATGGGGAACACATGTAAATCCATGGCTGATTCATGTCAATGTATGGCAAAAACCACTACAATATTGTAAAGTAATTAGCCTCCAACTAATAAAAATAAATGAAAAAAAAAAAAACAATTTGGAACTTAAAAAAAATAAAAAATAAAAAGTGGTGGTGACAAACCAGTAATTTTTTCCTCCATATCTATTATGAACAGACATGTTTTTTTTAAAAAAAATCAATGATTAGAAAATACATTCTTAGAAAGGATACCATAAAGTGTAAATCAAATAACTCACTGTTAGAGTCAACACAAATAAGCTTATTCCTTGAAGGCTCACAGATAGCACCATGTAGTCACCACATTTGGAATACCACTAGTTTATGCTTCCCAGGTAGTTCAGTGGTAAAGACTCTGCCTGACAAAGCAGAAGACACAGGTTCGAACCCAGGGTTGGAAAGATCCGCTAGAGAAGGGAATGGCAACCCACTCCAGTATTCTTGCCTGGGTAATTCCGTGGACAAAGGAGCCTGACAGGCCCCAGGTTGCAAAGAGTTGGACATGACTTAGCAACTAAACAACAACAACCTATCCAGTATTAAAACTTTGAGTACATTTATCTTGAAATTCTCTCTTTGGGGATTTTATCTCTGGTTAAAGAATAATGGGAAGAAACTAAAATCATACTTTACAAAGAGAGTTAAACTATCTCAACCTCCACCAGGAAAACCAGCCCAGCTTGGAGACATTGGACCCTCTGAGATTCTAGAAGCAGTTGACTTCTTCTGGCCTTCTTGACCATAAGCACCTCCACCCCCGACTCCCTCCTAAATGGGTTCAAAAGCCAAGTCAGGGCCAGGTTAGCCAACAATGCACAATTGTCCTCAGAGGTTCTCAGTCATGACATCGCTATGTGCAGAATTCTCATGTGACATACATATTCAATTTCAATCACTTGGGTCTAGTGGTTGTAATTCCTAAAAACTTAACTGTATGAATAATATATGCTCACTGTAGAACATATGAAAAAAAAAAGAGAGAACTAAGGAAAATTAAACCTATCTTTTAATACTGTCACCTCCCTTGATATCTTGGTATAAACCCTTAAGGAGTTGTGTTTTTTTTCTTTTCTAGCTGCAGTTTTTTGTAATGCACACTTGTGCTGATTGACTATTTTCCACGTGTGTCCAGCTGTGTCCGACTCTGAGGCCTCATGGACTGCAGCCCGCCAGGCTCCTCTGTCCATGGAATTTCCCAGGCAAGAATATTGGAGTGGGTTGTCATTTCCTTCTCCAGGGGATCTTCCCAACCCAGGGATCAAACCTGCATCCCTTGCATAGGCAGGTGGATTCTTTATTACCTGCTTCTAAAGGTCTTAGGATAATTGATTGTAAAGACGGCGAGTAGTTACTGGTTTCAATACAGGCCACTTTTTAAGTCTTTTTCCTCCCAAACAGTAGCGTCATTGCCAATAAATAGCAAAGATATTTTGTAAGTAATGTACAACTGGTTAAAGAATTTCAAGCATTTGAATCCTGAAAAATCACAGGACTTACTTAGCAATACAATCTGCCATGGCTAATACCCTTTCTACAAAATCAGTGAAATCAGTTTCTATATCTCAGAGCTGAAAATGTCAACAGTATTGATATTCAGTTACCACCCTCAGTGATTTAAACAATATTATCAGGCTATTTCAACCTAACTATTTAAATGTCCTTCAAACAAAACTCATTCTGATGTAGATACACCCACGAGTTCCCGCAATCCACATCTGCATGCATTCCTTTATTATGGTGGAAGGACTCTATCGCTAAACAGAAACTATAGCTAATCAAAGAGTTCCACTTTCTGACCAAAGAGGGAAAAACCATGGGTAAAGGAAATGATCAAGTTAAACCCGAGACAGGAGATCTAATTCGGCATTCTCCCCAGTTTATAATTAACCATTTGGGAAGAACCAGGTTGAGTTAAAGCCCATTTAGGTTGCTGGCTGGATATGTAATGCAGGGATCCCAGAGGCACTGCCTTGTATTAATCCACACTGAGAAGCTGTAGCTATAAAATTATAAGGAAGAATTACTGACCCAAGCAAGGTGATGCAAACATTTTCCTACCTGCTACTTCATTAGCAAAATCACCCCTGAAATGATCATATTGTGAGCACTGAAGATAAAAACCATAGAAAAATTGAATGTTAGTAATCTCTAAGTCAAAAAAGTAAAATTATAAACTAAAAGACTCTTGGCACTGGAACAAGATGTAAAGGAAGCCTTGAACACCTTAAAGAAAAGGTCACTGGTAACTTCATGGCCATTAAGATCAAATTGGGAACATTAGGATGTAAATGTATTTAAATAAAAGATCCAGATTTCTCTTAATCTTTTTTAAAAAATCAGAGGCTCTAATAATGTAAAAAGAATTTTCAGGATTTCCCTGGTGGTTCAGTGGTTAAGAATCTGCCTGCTAATGCAGGGGACACGGGTTCAATCCCTGGTCCTGGAAGATCTCACATGCCACGGAGCAGCCAAGTCCGTGTGCCACAAGTACTGAAGCCTGCATGCACGAGAGCCGGTGCTCCACAGCAAGAGAAGCCAGTGCAATGAGGAGCACCACAGCTGGGGAGTAGCCCCTGGTCTCCACAACTAGAGAGAAGCCCTCAAGGCAAGGAAGACCCAGAGTGGTCAAAAGCAACAATAAATGAATAGTTATTTTTAAAAGGAGGTCTCAATTCTAAACACAGCAATATAGGTATGAAATCTAGTAGATGTTATATTCCTGCCATAGTCTGAAGTCGCAAAAGATCAAATATATCTGGATTTATCTGGAAGAATCCATGCTCCTTTAGTAGCTTTATACATGAAATCCTGGAAAACTTATGTTGACTAAAGGACGTGCCCACTGAGTGAACAATAGTACCAACAGCTCTGCTCTTTGTGTGGCTGCCTTGTTTCTTCTTAGAAAGGTCACCCAAGTGACCATCACTGAGGATGAGTGAAGACTGCAGAATTGTGGCCCTGGCTCCCCACAAGACAATATTCCAGCACAGAAGGAAACACAGCATGAGAATCTGCATTCTAGAGTCTCTGGTGTCAGCATGCATGACTGTAAACCTATACCTGGCAATATGTGATCAATTGAAAAATTCTTTAGCTATAATCAACCAAAATGTGCTTTTTTATAAATGACCTTATAAGTATTGGGGAGTTTTTAAAGACAATATTCTGAAGTTGTATAGCTGTAGTGTGTTATGCCTATGCATTTATTATAAATATTTTAATATCTCTTTGTGTGCTGAGTTGTTTCAGTCATGTCTGACTCTTTGTCACCCCATGGACTACAGCCCGCCAGGCTCCTCTGTCCATGGGATTCTCCAGGCAAGAACACTGGAGTGGGTTGCCATGCCCTCCTCCAGGGGATCTTCCTGACCCCGAGATCGAACTAGTCTCTTATGTCTCCTGCACTGGCAAGAGGATTCTTTACCACTAGCGCTTTAATAGCAACCAAATATTTTTTAATCAGCTTGAGCCTCCACCCACTAATGTTTCTGAGAGCTTACAGCTCATGGGTAAAGCAAGGTATCTCATATTTAGAATAATAATCCAAATACATACTTTGTCTACTCCACAGAGTTGTTTTGAGAGTCAAAAAAAATAATGCATGTAAAAGTAACGGAATTCCCTAGAATCAGCATCGTCTATAGTGTGCCATAGACAACTTCCGGGGGTAGTGTTCTCCTGAAGGTCACCGAGTTTGGAAATCTTAACCTCTTGTAGAACAATTGCTTCAACTTCTAAAGAAAAAAAATATGTGCGCGTCTTGTTGTTATCCTCTCGTAGAGAATCACAAAAAGCGAGCTGAGTACACACTTCTTTTTCCTATTATTGTATGAAGGTTTGTTTTTTAAGAAATTAGCTGCTTTGATCTTAGGAGAGGAATTCCTCTTTGCTTGATGTCCTACAGATTTCTGATGAGATCAAATGAAGGCAATTTAAATACTAGACTTGTAGTAAATATCGATTTTTAAAAACCTCTGGTTAACTAACTAGTTTGGGCTACAGAAGTGGGTATCTCTAAGCTATAAGGCTCTCTTACTAATCTCAAACGTTGGAAAAATAACTGAGCCAAACCAAACACAGCCTCCAAATGAAACTGGATTAAAATTTGCCTTGAGGTCACCTGCTTGTGGGGAGAAGGCAATGGCAACCCACTCCAGTACTCTTGCCTGGAAAATCCCATGGACGGGGGAACCTGGTGGGCTGCAGTCCATGGGGTTGCTAGGAGTCGGACACGACTGAGTGACTTCACTTTCACTTTTCACTTTCATGCATTGGAGAAGGAAATGGCAACCCACTCCAGTGTTCTTGTCTGGTGAATCCCAGGGATGGGGGAGCCTGGTGGGCTGCTGTCTATGGGGTCGTGCAGAATCGGACACGACTGAAGCGACTTAGCAGCAGCAGCAGCAGCAGTAGCAGCACCTGCTTATGAGCAATACAAAATAATACAGAGATCCAAAAGATGTTTTGGCACACGAGATTGGTCTCATTTGAGATAAGCACCCCTACATTCCCAGACAAGTCCTCACACCACTAGTGAGTAGATGTTTGAGGATGTTCCTGGTCTAAACTGCCTGCACCTCTCCTGTTGAGCGTTAAAAGTGAAAAAAGTGAAAGTGTTAATTGCTCAGTTGTGTCCAACTCTTTGTGACCCCATGGACTATAGCCCACCAGATTCCTCTGTCCATGGGATTCTCCAGGCAAGAATACTGGAGTGAGTTGCCAGCCATTCCCTTCTCCAAGGGATCCTCCCAATCCAGGGATTAAACTCAGGTCTCCTGCATTGCAGGCAGATTCTTTACTGTCTGAGCCACCAGGGAAACCTTGGGTAAGGGGATGCCCAAAAGTTCAGGAATTAAGTGAAGTAGGATTTGAGTGCAATGCTATAGAAAATAAAAGTAAATGCAAACTTATCAATGATGAATGAAATAATTAATAGCAACATTTTAAACAAAGACAAGATCAACATCCCCCACTTTTCTTCCTGTCTCAGGCTCTCATATGGCTCATCATGGTACTGCCAATTAATACTTGCCAGCATCTTCTCACTTTAGGATCTGAACTTTCCTTAAAGCCATGTAAAACCAACCAGCCAACCAACCACAAAAACAGTCTCACCAAGAAATAGGGCAGAAAGCTTTCTGTTTATACCAAGATGCCCTCAGGGATGCTCCTTTAGATCTTTTTCCCAGACTGGGATTTTTCCCACTTAAGAAACGTGATGGTTTTTCTGATTCATTAGCAACTAAGGGTGAGAAATAACACTCTGGCATTGATGACAAGTTGATTGCTGTCTATTCTTATCTCTTGTCTCAATCTGCTTTTCAAACATGAGGAGGTTAGGAGAAGATGGATACTCATGATCTTCCAAAGATGCCAGGGTGGAGAGGCTGGAGTCACTTATGCTAAATACACATTGTGACTACTTCCCCCAATGTGTACACTGTTTCTTGGAGGAAAACTGGGCATCTTTGGTAGGGGGTGGAATAATTCTTATGACACCAAAGGGGTCCTTATTAAATTCAGATCAATGTCAGTGTGCTTAGTCATGCCCCACTTTTTTCGACCTGATGGACTGTAGCCGGCCAGGCTCCTCTGTCCATGAGGTTTCCCAGGCAAGAATACTGCAGTCGGTTGTCATTTCCTTCTCCGGGGTATCTTCCCGACCCAGGGATTGAACCCATGTCTCCGGCATCAGCAGGCAGATTCTTTATCACTGCATCACTTGGGAAGCCTCCTTCAGAGGCTTAAAGCAGCTTTATAAAAATGTCTAGCCAACTCTTGGGACTATAGCTTTCCAGGTGCTCTGGCTGAAGCACCAGGCTTCAAGGGGGATCCTCTCATAATGATGGAGTATGTACCAGACTTACCCCTCCCTACACTGCCTCTTTACCAACTCCCTAAAGTCCCCTGGCTCCTCTGTGCTCCTGCTCACAGCTGGTCTCACATAGATTCAAGCCATCTCCCAAATTCCCACAGATCTTTGCCTGAGACACAGTTACAAACACAGCCTTCTCTTTAAATATCCCACCAATTGCCACAGCTCTTGCTCCTACCCCCTCCTCCCCCAGTCCCAGTTAGCATCCTAGGATGCGGACCTGGTCTTTCCTAGAAGACAGGAAGAGACAACTCATAGGAGAAGACAACGTAAGACTAGCAGAGGCACATCAGCAGGGCTTAAAGGGTAGACATGTCTAACCAGGAAGAGAAAGACTTCTAAAACATGCTAAAAATATTCTATAAACTCATTCACCCCTCCCTCTCAAAGAAAGATGTCAAAAAACTCTCTTTTTTTTTGCTAGAAAGTATTTTTCAGAAATTAGGTGAAATAGATGGAGCATGGACCAAGCTACAAGGTGCCAAGATGTAGATGTTATTCATCTCATTTTTCCTTTGTTATATCTCTGCCTCTTCACTCCTAAGGTTGGTTACCTTTAAATAGAACAGGAGCTATTGCTCTCTGTAATTCTGACACTGAAAGTCCAGATCAAGGGCTATGTCACTTACTGATAGGGGATGGAAAAGGCTGTAGAACTTAGAACCCCCGACTCCACCATCTCAATCGCTTGCTTCATTTCCAGCTTCTTGTACAAAGAAACAAGGCTCGATTTTGGCAGATTCTTTCGGATGAGGATTTTCCGTAAATACTTATGATCAAACTTCTTAAACCTATAAACGAAAACCAATATTTTGGAAATCTTCAATCTCTGTAAATGTTATGTAAGTATATATACTTTTCTTGAAATAAACTACCACTTAAGTCTATTCTCAAAAACACCAGGACAGTGCCTGAAACTCATGACTCCGAATGCATTTTTTTTTAATCATAGAATTCATACATTTTTTTAAAATAAAGAAAGAATGTCCAGATGGCCTGAATACATTGAAAATCAACCCAACAAAAGGAAGGGACAAGCTATAATCAGCGCAAAAAGTAGGCATTAAATGGGAAGCGGGAGAGACCAGTTCAGTTCCAATTGTGGGAGAAGAAAGGAGGGGTTGATCGGGCCTTTTGTTGGTCCATCCTAGTAACTGGTAACAGTGGCAGCTGCACTTACAGCGATGCTGGCCTATTCAACCAGAACCCATAAGTTTAAATAGCCTGGTAGTTACAGTAGTTTCACTCATTGTGCTGCAGATCATTTTGAATCCTGCCAATTAGGTGGGGGCTGGTGAGAGAGCCCACATATACCATGAGTGATGGCACATCTGAATACGCCAGCCGCTGACGGCCGCCACCACTGTCTCCAAGCTCGGGCTGACCCATCAGACTGAGCCACACAGAGAAGGTGGTGACCTCAGTGTCAGCCAATCGTTCGGAAGGGAATTTTCAACACCTCCAGTCATCTTCCATTCAAGGAGTAATGTGGCTGCTGCTTTATTTCCTGGGTTGCTGGAATGTCATCTGGTGATTGGTCCTGGTCTGTGGGGTGAATGGACTCTTAATCAGCCAAAGCTCCTCTGGGTTGAGCAGGCTCTGATTCATGGGCTCTGTGATCTGTGTTTGGTTCTTACCAGGCTCACTCTGGCTCCAACAGGGTCACCCCTCAGCCTTCTTCATGAGAAGCAATGGTTTCTGTTTATTCCTCAATCTATTGCCATTGGCCCCTCAACTACTAGGACTTGTCTGAGTTCCTCAACCTGGGCTCACCTTGACCTTGTACTGGTCAAGAGCAGTGGTCGCCACTGCCCTCGTGCTATTAGCCACTGGCTCCTCCTGATGGACGACTTGGTGGCCACTTCCTATGAACCCTGCATGTCCTGCTTCCCTTCTAGCCTTTCTCATGACTTCTTCCCAGTCTCCTCTGTCCTTCCTCTCCCTTTCCTGCCTCAGAGGAAAGGAAAAAGGAAAACAAGGAAAGCTTCTCCGAGTCCTGTCTTAAGGGAGCTTCCCCTCTTCCCAGGATCCCAGTCGTCTCAGCCACATCCACAGCTTTGGGTACCAAATACTGATAATTCACAATCTCTATCACCAGTCATGATTTCCTCCTGAACTTGAAACTCAGTTCCAAAAGGGGTTGAGTGAGTATGAGACACTTAAGCAGAATCTGCTATTAACTCTAAACATTCTTCTACAGTCTATAAACTTAACCATGACATTGTTACCTCCCTCTGCTCGCTATCTGCAGATCAGATGGCCATTCTCATTTTCCCTTGCTTCATCTTCCTTTTCTGATGTCATAGCCAGTCAATGGACATAGGACAGTCTCCCCTAGAAGTATTTCAATATCCCTTCTGCTAATTCCTGACCTTCACTAGTCTGGAAGCTCTGTCACTCATTGAAAACAAGAGACCTAAACGCACACCCAGATTCCACTGTACGGCAGGTTAACTGACTTCTCAGAGTTGGTTTTCTCATCTTTAAAATGAGAATGACAACACAGGACAGTTAAGGAGATCATGTGAGAGATAACTGGTATGAGAGATAATTCCTCTCTTTCTTTTTATTGGAGTATAATTGCTTTAAAATATTGCATTAATATACTCACAATTTATATAGTAAAATATGTTCCCTCCCTCTTGAGCCTCCCTCCCACCCCTGCATCCCACCCTCTAGGTCATCACAGAGCACCAAGCCAAGCTCTCTATTCTGTATAGCAGCTTCCCACTAGCTAGCTGTTTTACACATGGTAGTGTATATATGCCAATGCTATGTGTCTCCCCATTTAATTTTTCTCTTTCTAATCCAGCTTCCACATCGTTGTGTAGTTTGCTTTCCGAAGTCCAAGTATGGCTATGCTCCTATTTAATAGCCTTTTGATATGAGTTTTAATGGTCAAATTGAACTTTATAGTATCAATGGCTGTACAAAGATACTGGACTCTGCACTGTAAAAGTGCATCCTTGTCTTTCCAATCTTTCACCTTGTCTCATCTCTCTGACCATATCCAAACCAGGACATGCTCTCCCTTGCCTTTGCATATGGAAATACACTGCTATTGCTGATGCTTGGCAGGCTTGCATTCTTCTCTGCATTCTCTGCCTCACTTATTTTCCAAACCCACTCCCACATTATTATACAGTTCATGCATTTGCCTCTGTTATAACATGCCCCATTCAGGCTCAGTCACTCAGTCTTGTCCAACTCTTTGTACACCATGGACTGTAGCCTGCCAGGCTCCTCTGTCCATGGGATTCTCCAGGCAAGGATACTGGAGTGGGTTGACATTTCCTTCTCCAGGGGATCTTCCTGAGCCAGGGATCGAACCCGCATCTCCTGCATTGGCAGGTGGATTCTTTATCTCTGAGCCACCTGGGAAGCAAGTTGTACTGGTTCTCTCTAAAGCCCTCAGTTCCAAGTTCACTGCCTCCACCCCCTGGGAGTCCATTTCCCAGGACTTCTTCCTGCTTCCTACATCGCATGACTCCTGGGCCCTTTGTCTCCCTGCTTCCCTTCCTCGGGACTCTTTCGAGCTTCATGCTCAGCTTCCAGGGGGAGCCTCCGAGGCTCCCCACGTCGCATCTACCCCTGCTCGGTGCTGAGAGCGCAGTCCTTACTTGTCTCTGACTTGGTAGTGGCTCCATTGCCCACACACATCTTCCACTCCAGCTTTCAGGTGGTCCATCAGCTGGCAACAGACACAGAAAAATGAGTGCTAGTAACACATTAGCCCTACAGGACACCCAAGGAAGGCTACCACACCCTGAAAACAAAGGAGGCTTTACTTTCCTAGCTCACATCCTCTTTTCTATCACTCTGCTGATAGAACTGAAGCTTACAATGCCTTTCCCAGTAATGCCACCAATGCCTTTCATAATTCAAAGGCTCTGTAGATAAGTTCTTCAATAAAGTACATAACTTCCAAGGAAAACAAGGTACTTGCTTTTCTATGAATATTACCTTTCTATAATGATCAAGAAAGTTTCTCATGACTGAAATGACATGGATATAAAGTTTAATAACTATCACTCTAATTTCATTGCAAAAAGAAAAGAAAATGCCAGTTCCTTTTTATACAGTTTCTAAAAATATAGTTTTATGGATATTCTATTATAATATCTCCTGGAGAAGGAAATGGCAGCCTACTCCAGTATTCTTGCCTGGGAAATCCCATGGACAGAGGAGCCTGGTGGGCTACAGTCCATGGGGTCGCAAAAGGAGCCAGACAGGACTAAGCAACAAAATTATAAGGACAGAATTATATCTGTTTTTATCTGATCTTTTTGTCTCAGTATTTACATTTCACCATCCACGCCAGTTGTACTACATTTGCTTCATCCCAACTGCTTATAAGAATTTAGGGGAAAACACAATCTCTATATAATTAGTTAATTTACAAATAATCTAAGTTTGTAATCAGTGAAGTTTATCATGGCTTCTAAATTCTGGGGAGAAAGTAGATGAATTAATTCTGAAACAATTATGTACTCTCTACCAATAGTTATATCTTTTGTGATAAAAAGAGATAAATAAGAAAGGGGTGAAATATCCAGGTTCTATTATTTTAGGTATACTATCTAATTTCTTAATATAATGAATAGAGGGGATCAAGATAGAGACAAAAATCTTCAATCAAGTTAAAGCACAATTTTTTTTTTAAGTTCTATTTATTTATTATTTATTGTTGGCTATGCTGGGTTTTGGTTGCTACCTGGGCTTTTCTCTAGCTGAGGCAATTGGGGGCCACTCTTTTTAGTAGCAGTGTGTGTTCTTCTCATTGTGGGGGCTTCTCTTGTTGCAGAGCATGGGCTCTAGGGCATGCAGGCTTTAGTAGTTGCAGCTTCCAGGACCAGGGATGGAATCTGTGTCTCCCACATTAGCAGGCAGATTCTTTACCACTGAACCACCAGGGAAGCCCAAAGCACTCGGGCTGTATTCCACTGTGTTTAGAGGAACAAGTCTTTTAAAACACTCACTCCTTTATCTCCAGCTGTTGAATACTTACAAACGGGCTTGGAAATTTTTTGATTTGGATTTCCTGGAATTAAAATTATTTTATTTCCAGAGGTGACCTTGGCCATGAAATTCTGCTCTGACTTTGACTTTGTCAGTTTTTCCAGCACCAGAGTTAAGGACTCTCAGACATGAAAGAAATTACACATTATATGAGCCAATGGTCTCGAAGCCTGTGGCTGGAAGCCTGAATCTCCTGGACAGCACCTGTGCCGAGGGTCCCGTTACCCCTCATACTTCACCTGTGACTGTGCCATACAAGAAACCATTGTCCAGATGCTCTTCATGAGGAGCTGAAGCTTCTCACAGTACATCTTCCGTGTATTAGTTCCCATTTCTATTCCCCAGAGCCGTTTGTTGTTCAGTCGCTCAGTTGTGTCTGACTCTTTGTGACCCCATGGACTGCAGCATGTCAGGTTCCTCTGTCCATGGGATTCTCCAGGCAAGAATACTGGAGTGGGTTGCCATTTCCTTCTCCAGGGGATCTTCCAGGCCCAGAGATCAAACCTGGGTGTCCTGCATTGCAGGCAGATTCTTTACCATCTGAGCCACAAAGAAAGCCCATAATGACCTATATGGGAAAAAAAATCTAGAAAAAACCAGGCCCTTTCCTAGAACCTTCAGAAAGAAAGTCAGTCCTGCAAGATCTTGATTTCATCCCAGTGAGACTTACTGTGAACTTCTGACTTCCAGAACTATAAGATAATAACTGTAAGATTCAAGCAACTGAGTTTGTGACAATTTCCTACAGCAACACTGCTGTGGAGCTGGAGAGGAAAGAGACCATGTCTAGTGACATATCCACACTTCTAAATCAACTCCCAGAGGCGACCAAGAGGGGACGTCTTACCAACTTGTTAATCATGACCGAGAGATGACTTACACGAGTATGGAGTTCTTCGTTGATGGATTCTTTTTTATTGGTCTTTCTAACATCCAGATACCTGACCAGAGGGCCAACTGTGATTCCCTAGGTCGTAAACAACAAAATAAAGGATTTTGTTGTAGAGAAGATTGTCACTGTAGAGACCACAAATCTATTAGCAAAACTATGGGGACTCTCAATTTTTACGTCTTTTTTGCACTAGTTTCTCCTGAATAAATGCTCTAGTGTTTACTTTAGTTCTTATTTAATGTTTTTAAATTCTGCAATAAAAACAGGTATTATATCTATATTTTAAACCAAGGACCTAGTTTCATTCTTTAAAATAAACTCCCATTAGTTTGCTAAGCACTAATTCCAGTCAAAATAAAAACTATTTAATACTAACTGGAATCTTATTTTCAGTAATACACATTAGAGGTGCTATCATTCGCCTGTATGTTAGAGCATTTTGATTTTATTATTCAAAAGTCATCAAAATTTAGAGTTTATGGGATGACCCAAAACATGATCTAGACGTATTTGGGAATTTGGTTTCAGTACTGAACACATATCTGAAAATCAGATAACAGTATCCCTGTCTTGGTATTTTATTAATTTAACACACAATCCTGAGAAGAATAGACTTATTTCAAGTAGGAAGGAAATCTACCAACCTGAATAAATACGGTAAAATATATAACGACTAGAGTTGCAGTGACAAACAGTTTCTTCCTAGGAAAAAGAGACAGAGGAAGCAAAAACGCAAGGGAAAAACTGCCAGCTCCTCGGACACCACTGTAGAAAATTACGCACTGGTCCTTGATGGAGAAGGGGAAAGTCCGAAACCGGTTACTGACATAGAAGAGAGCAAACACGCCTAGAGGGGGGGAAATATGTATTAGAGGAGAGGGTCACAGGTGAGCCGAGACACAGCAGTGCTAGTGAGGACAGGTCGTCTCATGTGCCCCCAAACAAGGCAACTGAATTCCATCACACCCACGACTGTCCGCGCCCAACAGATCAGCTCACAAAGCTTTTCACTTCTCGGCTAGTTGTGGCACAGCAGTGCTTCAAGTCAGAAGTCTTGTTCCCTACAGGGATGTTCACAAGTATGTGTGTTTCAGTGTGTGTGTGTATTTGGGATTTCCCAGGTGGCTCAGTGGTAAAGAATCAGCCTGCAATGCAGGAGACGAGAGTTTGATCCCTGGCTTGGGAAGATCTAGGAGAAGGACATGGCAGCCCACTCCAGCATCCTTACCAGGACAATACCAGGGACAGAGGAGACAGGCAGGCTATGGTCCATGGGGTTGCATAGAGTCGGACACGACTTAATGACTGAGCACGTGTGTGTATTTAGAGGAATACATCTTGATACTTTTGCAATAAGAAATGGCATCTATTTTCTGATCTATTTTCATAAACTTTGCTCTGCCTTTCAAAATTAAGGAAAGCAAGGGTATTGCTTGGAGGGTACAAGCCTGTCTATCAACTCCTACTCTCACTGAGTCAGCAGAAGAGGTGTGTGACTTTGAAGGTGAGAGGGGCCCTCACAGTGCCTGGGGGTTCTCTGGAGGTGAGCAGAGCTTGTATGGGTGGTTTGGTTCTTCTTGAGACTCAATGCAAACAAGAAAGGAAGTTGGCAAGGGGTCACCAGGGGGCTTCTTACTGTCAGTAAGTGTCAGAAATGGAGGGTGGGAAAACTTATTGGCAATAGGTGTTGTCTATCACATCTTTCTCCATCTCCCAGTGGCCCACATGGCTGAGTTACAACCAGTGCAGGATTTCCTGGTGAGAAAGGTCCCTTCACTTAAGCCCTGACTAATCAGAGAATAATAAAGCACTCAGTATCCTCATGTGACTTCTAATGACACAGCCATCACAGCAAGCATCCTTGACACTAACTCTACTGCCCTATAGATCGCTGTAGTATTAGAACTGAAAGGGACCTAACGAATTGGTCCACACCCACTGTTGTGTGCTTGGGGTAGAAGTTTTTGAGTAGTTAACTGTTTCCTCAAGGTCAAATAATATCACCAACTCAAGAGACAAGAATTTGAGCAAACTCTGGGAGATGGTAGAGGACAGAGGAGCCTGGAGTGCTACAATTCATGGGATTACAGAGTTGGACATGACTTAGCTACTCAACAGCCACCACCACCACCAAGGCCAGATGGCTAGTTAGTGATATGACAAGACCTGATGTGACATTATAAATTTATATCAGAGTATTATTAATTCTTTTCTCCCCTGGAGACCCAATAGGCACACATATTCAGAGTTAATTTTATGAATAATTTAAATATTTCCACATTCTTGTTATTCTTTCCTAGCATCCTTTCATAGTAGGGACATTGAAAATGCAGGAGACAATACAACTTAATGTTTTTCACTTTGTTTGGTTTGTCCCAGCTCCTACATGGGCTAGTCATGTGACCTTGGACAAGTGTCTTAATCTTGTCAGGTCCTCAGGTCCTCACCTGCTTTATGGAGATGCTGACAGTATTTATATCAGAAGATGGAAGTAAAGTTCAATAAACTCAATATTTATAAATATTGAGAAAACATGACCTTCTATGTTATAACCCTTCATGAGTGAGAACTATTCTTAGCTACGATGAGTCAGGTAGTAGCCAGAGAGCTGGACTCTGACACCTGGCTCTGTCCCTCACCCTAATGTGGCCAAGTCATTTTCTTGGGAACTGTTCCATCATTTCCCTTGGATGGAAAATACAGGAGCTGGGCTGGATGGTCGCCAAGGGTCAACCATGATGAGGTCTCCACAACGTTAATCTCCTAGATGGTTTCTATTCTTGTTGGCTGGGCTGAAGCTCTGAATCTGATGCTCCTCTTAACCTTTACTTGACTCTGTAGATCCCTGTAGTATTAGAACTTAAAAGGACCTAAGAAATTTGTCCATGTACACTGTTTTGTGGTTGGGGAAGAAGCTTTTCTGTAGTTAACCTTCTGTACGTGTGCTCAGTCGCCTCCGACTCTTTTCGACCCTATGGATTGTAGCCCACCAGGCTCCTCTGTCTATGGGATAGTCCAGGCAAGAATACTGGAGTGGGTTGCCATTTCCTTCTCCAGGGGATCTTCCCAACCCGGGGACTGAACTCACATCTCCTGCATTGGCAGGTGGATTCTTTACCACTGTGCCACCTGGGAAGCACAGTTAACTGTCTTCCCAAAGTCAAATAGCTAATTAGTAATAAGACTTGATGTGAGATTATAAATTTATATCAGAGTATTCTTAATTCTCTTCTCCTCTGAAGACCCAAGGCACATTCAGAGTTACTTTTATGAATGTTTTTAATATTTCTGCATTCCTGTTATTCTTTCCTACATCCTAAAAACCATTCTAAATTTAGAATGTATATATTCAAGATGAGTTCTCAGCCATTTCTCCTAATTTCTCTCTGAGTAATTGGCTTGAAACTGCCCGTCAAAGTCATGTAAAAAAATGCTTCAAATATTAGTCAAAATCACTTTAAAATATAATTGCTTCTAATCAAAAGAAATCTTGTAGTTCAGTAATGACTGTTCTTACTAATTCCAGAAACAAATATACAAGTTAAATTAAAAGGCCTTCAACAAGACATCTCATGTTTTCAAATGACATATTTGATAGGGCTGATCGGACAGGGGAGCCCGGCATGCAGGAGTCCCTGGGATCGCAAGGATTTGGGCAGGACTTAGGGACTGAACAACAGACAGTCACACTGCAGAGTTGCCTTTACAAAGCATTTTTTTAAAAAAAAGGATCCACTTCCTTTGTTTTCTATACATCATACTCAATCCTTGACTAAAACCACCTGTAATATTTAGGAGATTCTTTTCCAGCAGGATTTGCCTTCTATAGACTACAATTTGTGAGATTGAACTTTTCTTATAACAAAAGTATAAAAGAGAGCCTGCAGTTTATAATCTATATCTAGTTTAAGGTGCAAAAAGGTACAAATTGGCAAAGACATGATGAGCAAAAGGTAAATGTACTGTTATATTTAAATGTGTCTTTGTGAAATTTCTCTCCTCAATTAAAAAAATAAAAGTGCTCTGGCTCCAGCCTTGTTTTAGTGCAGAAACTTCTCAGCCAGAAATTATTTTGAACTGATTGAGGAAGCAACCAGAGAACGTTCCTGGTCACCATAAGGTACCCAACCCCTCCACCCCCACCCCAAACCAGTGAAACAAGTTGGCATCATCTTATTGCTTATGCTTTAACCTTGCAGGAAGGAACAAGAAAAATAAAAAGAGAAGCAGGTGGGACTCTATGGGCCCTGCCATGTCTTACTGATGGCCCTCCAGATCTGGCAGAAGACCAGGGTGAAGCAGATAAAGGCCCAGTTCCACTCGTGGTTCTTTCCAATGGTGGACACGCCCATGAAGATGAAGATCAGGGTCTCACTGACGCTGCTCAGCATCTTCATGAAGTACTTGATGGTCGTGTATGAGGTCTGGGACACATTTTCTTCCACATACTTTTTCATTGTCACTGCACAGGCTGTGATTCTGCAGAAGGAACAGAGAGAAGCCCAGGACCTTGTCCCTCATTGGAAAATCCTCTTTTGGTGATGGCGTATGTGGGTGCTCAGTCACTCAGTTGTGTCTGATGTCTTTGTGACCCCGTGGATTGTAATGCCTCAGGCTCCATTGTGCATGGGCTTTACCCAGGCAAGAATACTGGAGTGGTTTGCCATTTCCTCTTCCTCCCATGCAGGAGATGCAGGGTCAAGAAGATCCCCTGGAGGAGGAAAGTGGCAGTGGCACGGTTTCCCAAAAACATAAATGGTGCATAATTCATGCAGGAGCCAGAAGCAGGACTGTTTCTTTCTTGCTCTCCTCATCAAAAGCTATGTCAGCCCTACCTCTTACTCTCAGCTTCACTTGCCTTAAACCGAAATAAAGACAGTGCAGTCACCAAGAAAGAATAATTCAGCAAGACCCCTCATACTATAATGTTCCCTACAAAAATTTAATGGAACATTTTCACTTAAAATGCTTTGTTCTAGAGCCACTTAGCAAGTTTGGAAAGGAAAGAAAGGATTTGCTTTGTCTTAGTAGTTTGCTAAATTTTTTTCAATACATAGTAGGTTTTTATTCTTCAAAATATATGTATACTTTTAGTATATTATATCAAATAAATCAGGTGGGTTTCAAAAATGCAAGATAGGTTATATGAGCTAAATACATTAATTTGCATAAATTGGCAGAACCGCTACTTAATTTTAGAGTTGCGACTTCCTGATGAGAACTAGAAATTTCCTTTCGCTGACGGTATTTAGTTATTTATACTTGGAATATAATTGCTTTACAATGTTGTGCTGCTTTCTGCAGTACAACAGTGTGAACCAGCAGTAAGTACACATATATCCCCTCCCTCTCGGTCTTTCCTCCCACCGCCCCCCACGCCCCATCCCACCCTCTAGGTCATCACAGAGCAACAGGCTGACCTCCTTGTGCAGAACAGCAGCTTCCCACTGTATTTACACATGGTCGTGTACATATGCAGGGCCTCTCTCCCAGTTCGTCCCATCCTCTCCTTCCCCATCTGTGTACACAAGTCTGTTCTCTATGTTTGCGGCTCTATTACTGCCCTGCAAACAGATTCATCAGTACCACTGTTCTAGATTCCACACATATGAGCTAGAATATGATATTTGTTTTCCTCTTTTTGTCTTACTTCACTCTGTACAACAGACTCTGGGTCCATCCACATTCACTTTTAAGGAGAGAGAATGATGACTGCCTAGACTTTGTGAAAGTGAAAGTGTTAGTTGCTCAGTTGTGTCTGTCTCTATGTGACCCCATGGTCTGTAGCCCACAGGGCTCCCCTGTCCATGAGATTCTCCAGGCAAGAATACTGGAGTGGGTAGCCATTCCCTTCTCTGGGGGATCTTCCCGAGCCAGGGGATGAACCCAGGTCTTTTGCAGTGCAACCAGTTTCTTTACCATCTGAGCCACTAGGGAAGCTGCCTAGACTTTACACTACTGCATGTAATCAAAATAAATATTTCTATACAATAGAATTGTGCCCAAGGATCTGGGTATGAAGATAATGTCATTTTAAAAAAGGCAACATGATCAGATATAATAAATCAAGTTGAGAAGCCTTATTCCAAGATCTAAACAAAGATAAACATTTCAAAAACATTTTCATTAGGAAGAAAATCTGAATTTCTAAGTTTTACCCTATCTCTTGAGTTTTACTCCACACTGACCAGTCCTGGAGCAATGACGTTACTTTAGTGAAAGAGCAGAAAGCAGAGTCCAGGAATGACAGTAGTTCCTGGCATGCTTCCCTTTAAAATAATGCATTTTTCAAGGAAAAAAAGATAACAACTGAAGTGAGACCTTAACCTTGAACCTCTCCCAGTTCATCTCTGCACCAGCTTTTCTGAGCATTATAAATTGACCTTGTACTTGCTCAGCAAGCTCTCTTCAGGCAAATCACCAGGACAGAGCAAATGCAGGTGCTGGGGAGAACATTTGTTTGGCAAAGGACCTGAACCAGATTTGACAGAAGTTCATCCTGCATTGCTTTTGAGGACTAGCTTTAGAAGTCAGGCCTTTCCTAATTCTGGTCCACAAGATGCGGTCCTAAACTCTCCTTATTGGATGGGAGCTGGTCCTTCGTTTGTACTCACGCCAGGATGCCAGAGAGGTAGAGCGTCTCGGCCACGAGGTAGGACAAGTAGCTGAACATGAAGACGATGAGGGGTTCAATCGCAGAGATGTTCTGGGTGAAACGGGTGATAAACGCAGAAATGAATCCAAATATGACACCAAAAAACACACCCCCGCACCCAACGATGATGAATCGGGCACATCCAGCCAAAATATCCACGGGTTCTATGTCTTCAAATTTGTGCATCTTCGTGAAGGCAATTAAGATGTTATACAAGACCTAAATGAAAAGAAAATGAGAAAAAGTAAAGCAGACTTAAATTAGAAAAGAGAAACAGTTGTGCTTGCTTTGGCAGCACATAGACTAAAATTGGAATGATAGAGAAGACCAGCGCTGCCCCTGCTCAAAGATGACAGGAAAATTTGTGAGGAGTTCCATATTTTTATTACCCCAATACAAAACAAAAAGTTTAAAGTTTGGGAAAAAATAAAAATAAATTAAAAAAAATTTAAAGCGTCTTAAAAAAAAAAAAAGAAAAAGAAATCAAGGTAGCCTTTACAAAGTCATCTACATAAATTTTCCAGCTAGTAATACCAACCAGTCCTTACCATGAATTCAGATGTTAATTTGTTTAAATTATTCATTAAAATTAATGTAACTAAATCTAAAAAACAAATGAAAAACAGTTTACATGCAATTTCTTCTCTTTTTTTAAAATTGTTTTATTGTGGTAAAGTCACATAATATAAAACATACTATTTTGACCAGGTTTAACTGGACAGTTCAGTGGTACTAAGTACATTCACATGGTTCTGCAACTCTCACCATCATCCATTTCCCAATTTTCCACCTTCCTAAACTTAAACTCTGTCCCTGATAAACACTAAGTCCCCAGCCACACAATCTACTAATATACTTTCTGACTCTATGAATTAGTCACCTATTCTAGGTACCTTGTATTAGTGGAATCAAAACCTATGTGTCTGCACTTACTGTATATTGGAATGTATTTTTAAGCTTAGCTTAATACATGTTCTATAAATAGATTGTACCTTAATCTTTTTCCCCCACTGCACTGTACAGTAGGTTCTCATTAGTTATCTACTTTATACATGGTTGGTTTATACACAGATTCTTAACTTTGGGTCTAGTTGAATAATATGCCACAATAAATTACATAACAAGAAATATTGACACAGCTGCCTAAAAGTATATGCATTGCAAATAATTTAAATCTATTCCGCTTCAGGGAGTAAGTACAATCTGTCCTGTGCTCAGTCGTGTCTGTCTCTGTGGGACCCTATAGACTGTAGCCCACCAGGCTCCTCTGTCCATGGGATTCTCCAGGCAAGAATACTGGAGTGGGTTGCCATTCCCTCCTCCAGGGGATTTTCCCAACTCAGGGATCAAAACTGCATCTCTTGTGTCTCCTGCATTGGCAGGGGTTTCTTTACCACTGAACTATCTGGGGAGCCCTACCCAAGAAGTATAATACACTTTTAAAGCACTGAGCACCTATTACGTGCCAGTCTCTTCGATAAGTTTGGTGTCATTATTAACTGATTTCCTCTGGCTCTGAATGCACCCTTCAACATAGGCTCCATAATAAACAATAAAAGTCTTTTATTGCTCTCCGGAATCATAATGGAATCGACTCATACACTTTTTGCCGTCCATTTCGCACATGAAGATCCAGAATGTTATCCAGTCCAGCACAGGTTTTGTCTTTGGAATGTGAGTTGGCAGAGAGCAACATTCCTGAAAGTAGTTCAAGTGTTACCAGTCTTTGTCTGGGTGGCTTCATCCAGTGAACTCTACTAACGGAGGAGAGGACCATGGTGGGGGGGGGGCCACGCAATGGCCCCTCTGCTCACAGGCCCTCAGGCCCCCCTCCAGGGCAGCTTGGCAACACTGCCTTCTATGTTCGCTCCTGAGGGCTGCTGTAACAAGGCTTCCCGGGGGCGCTAATGGTAAAGAACCCACCTGCAATGCAGGAGACACGAGGGTTCGATCCCTGGGTCGGGAAGATCCCCTAGAGGAGGAAATAGCAACCCACTCCAGAATTCTTGCCTAGGAGATGCCATGGGCGGAGGAGCCTGGCGGGTTACAGTCCATGGGGTCTCAAAGAGTCGGACACGGCTGAGTACACAAGCACGGATATTATTTAAGCAAAGCCAAGCAAAACCATGCTCTAAGAAAAACCTTGCCTGAGTTTTTGCAAGAAAATTGTGACTTACGGTTTCAAAATGAATCCAAAAGAAACTTAGTGGTTGTATCCCAACTCAGTGACTTTATTTAGTTCGATTTAACCTTTTGCCTGACCTTGGAGCAACCCATGTGCAGGTCTTGGAAGCCCTGGGTGTTGCACCTTCGGAGCTGTGTTCATGTTCCAAGGAGTGAAATCAAGATGAAAAGCCAGAAGCTAGCATGAAACTCAAAAAGTAAGATTGAATGAGTTTAATTGGGACTCTGGGAGATTATTTGACTCTTAAGAACAAAGAAACTCACAGAGTATGATTGAGACTCAAAGATGTGCATGTTTAGGCCACAAAAGAAAACTCTTTTGCATTGCTGTACAGATTATAAGAAGCAGCCTGATCTGTTCCTAGGACCTGGGAAAGTCAACAGGACTCGCCCTGGCCCCAGACACCGGTACGCGCTGCCAGGAAGAGGCTATGGCATTTTCAGAAGCTAAAGTCATACGTATAATTAAGAAGACTACACTTACAGACATAATCCATACGACTACATGGAAAACAATTCTTATCTTTCAAATTATATGGCTCTGGATGTCATTACAGTTATGAAAGATTTTCTTTGGATTCCTTTCAAATCACAATCATGTGTGCATATTTTTAATATATTGGAAGGGGAAACTCAGCCAGTGCTAATGCTCAAATACATCCCTGGCACTAAGGGGAAACAAAATCAGATTTACCTTCTTCACTCAGTGGGCAGGTGCCACATTGGGACAAAATAAGACATATATATTTTGGAGAACTTCCCTGGTGGTCTGGTGGCCAAGACTCCATGCCCCCAATGCAGGCGGCCGTGGTTCCATCCCTGGTCAGGAAAGTAGATCCCATATGCTACAACTAAGTGTTTGCATGTCACAGCTAAAGATCCTATATGCCACAACTAAAAGATGCTGGCGGAACAGCGGTAGGGGGAGGGGGAGATCCCGTGTGCTGCAACTAAAACCCAGTGCAGCCAAATAAATAGATTTTTTAAAATAAAATATTAAAAAGAAAAAAATAAATGTATATGTTTGTCTTTGTCCCCAGTACCTGGCACAGAGTCCCTAAAGATCTAGTAATTCCCTGAGTACTTTGTACTCAGTAATGAGTAATGAGTACTTTGTAATGAGTACTTTTCAACCAGCCCTGAATTTATACTCATGAGGTGACTCTTGCTGGGGTTCCCTCTTAACCTGCCCCCAAGGAGGGGGGACTGGTGGCTGGAGGAAACAACCATGTGATGATAATGTTGCATTTTCCATGCCCACTCCCTGACCCTCCATGAAGAGGAGAAAGGCTGGAGCTTGATTTCAATAATCAGTGGCCAACAACTTCATCAATCAGGCCTAGGTAATGAAACTTCCATAAAGAAACCCCGAAGAACAGTGCTCAGAAAGCTTACGGGTTGGCGCTGGGAGGGTGCTGCACCCGGAGAAGACACGGAAGCTCTGCACACGCTCCCCGGGACCTGCCCCTATGCACCCCTTCCATCTGGCTGTTTCTGAGTTGCGCCCTTTCCAGTAAGCTGCTTGTTGCTGTTCAGTCCCTCAGTCATGTCCGATTCTTCGAGACCCCATGGACTGTACGCCAGGCTTTCCCCTCCTCCACTATCTCCTGGAGTTTGCTTAAACTCACGGCCCCTGAGTAGATGATGCCATCCAGCCATCTCATACTCTGTCCTCCCTTTCTCTTCCTCCCTCAAACCCCAGCATCAGGGTCTTCTCCAACGAGTCAGCTCTTTACATCAGGTGGCCAAAGTATTGGAACTTTAGCATCAATCCTTCCAGTGACTATTCAGGGTTGCTGTCCTTTAACACTGACAATAAACTGGAAATAAAATTAAAGCTGCTTCCCTGAGTTCTATAAGCTGTTCTGGCAAAACTGTCAAACCTAAGGAGCGAGTTGTGGGGACGCCCAATTTTATAGCCAGTCAGTCAGAAGTGTGTTGTCTTGCGATCGGTGCCTGAGGTCGAGGAAGGAGTCTTATGGGACTGAGCCCTTAACCTGTGGGGTTTGTGCTAATTCTGAATACTTAGTGTCAGAGCTGAATCAGATTGTAGGACACTAAGCTGGTATCTGAAGATTTGGAGAACTGGTTGGAATTGGGAAAAACATGCACACATTCGCTGTCAGAAGTCATGCTGTTAAAAACCAGTTTAGAGACATTTAGGAAAGTGGTCCTTTTCTGTTACTTTTAACAAGCTCATCAGCCTCCCAAGATCACAGTACTGGTAACTCTTTATGGACACCACTGTAAAAGTTTGCAAAGTCCTTTCAACACAGAAAATAATGATGAAAGACACCTGCCCACCACCCAAGGTTTAGCAGAAGTGGAGAGTCAATTTCAAATGTGCTGATATTTGTTTCCTTATCAACTTTATTGAGGAATGATAGACAAATGATAAACTTGAGATGCAGTTCAATCCCTGGGTTGGGAAGATCCCCTGGAGAAGGAAATGGCAATCCACTTGAGTATTCATGCTGGGCAATTCCATGGACAGGGAAGACTGGTGGGCTACAGTCTATGGGGTTACAAAGAGTCAGACATGACTTAACGACTAAAAATCACACACATTTGTGTGTGTGTGTGTGTGTGTGTGTGTGTGTGTGTATATATCAAGGTGATTTAGTAATACATATATACATATATTCAGTATATTAGTGAATCACCTTGCCTTATATCTGAAACAACACTGTAAATAAACTACACTTCAATTTAAATTAGGAAAAAAAGCTTAAAAAAATGACAGAAGGGAAGAAACTTTTACCTTACTTCTAAAGAAAGATCAGAAAATTTAACAAAGAGTGGCAGGACTTTACTCATTTAGGACACAGCAAAGCAGTTTCTTTAAGGAGCTTCTTTCAATTTAAAAAGCCTGACACTCCTTCTCAGCTTAAAACATGATAGGGTAAAGGACAGATCATACTTCATAGCTGCTGTTACCACCTACCAGCCAACGACTTTCAAATACACATCTCCCTCCAATCTCTCTCCCAGGCTCTAGACTCCTATTTCTAAAACTAGGGAAAATTTCTTTTCAG